CTTATTGTTCAGTCACATACCTTTCATTCTGAATTGTCAGTTCAAATCTTTGCTCAAGTTAAATTAGATTATTTGCCATTTTTATTGATTTATAGGGGTTATTGACATAACCTGAATCTTTGTCAGGTGTGTGTGTTACGAACATTTTCTCCCCGTCTGGGGCTTGCCTCTTCACTTTCTTAATAGTGTCTTTTGGTGAGTGTAAGTTATAAAATGTATTAATAGCATCCAGGTTACCAAATTTTTCATTTTGTGGGTAGGGCTTTCTGTGTCTGCCATAAAACCCCAAATATTAATGGGAAGCCCTTCAGAAGGAGAGCTGACCACAAAACTGACAGCTGCAGTGGGCATCCTTCTGAAATACGGCCAAATCTGCAGACCACGTTTTTAGAATGGATACGATTTGTTATTGCTGCCTATAAAAATGCTTCAGGCTTTATTCAACCCAATTATTCAGCCCAATCATCAATTCTAAATAATCTCTCAACTTTTCCTTTGCCCACAACGTATTCCTCAAACGGGGACTCTCTTTGGGTGGTTTTCCTTGGGCAAATTCAGCAGCTTCTTTCGACACGGCTCACCTTCCTTTGACCCTCACATGAAAACTCCTTCTGTTCATTTTTTTCTCTTTCGACTCTTCGTCTTTCACACATTAACTCCTCGACATTCAGTGTAAGAGAAAATTATGTAGTTAAAGCCCTTCTGAATAGGAGAGAAGTCATGGTCGGTCATACCACCCTGAACGTGCCTGATCTCGTCTGAATAGGAAAGAAAACGTAAATATTTTCATCTAACCTATGAAAGTGGATGGTATAATTTGAATTTTGTGAGCATTAGTTATTTGATTTTCTTGCTGAATTATTTCCAGAATCCCAAACTTTATTTTTATCCATTGGAGGACATCCTTTTGGAATGGTTTCAAACCTAACTTTTCATGAGATAATTACTGTAAAACTCCAGCTTTGGTGCCCTTTGCGATGCTGAGCCATCAGCCAGCTGCAGGCGTCTCCACTGGCACACACGCTTTCACCTGGCCCTCAGCCAGTCCTGACCAGAACTTCACAAGCGCCTTCCAACCGTCCCTCCTTCCCCCTCTCCTATTTCCACCATCGTTGTTTGGTCCTCTCCATTTTTACTTTCTCTAAAGAGTCCCTTTTTCTGTGCTCTTTCCTACCATGTGATGAGATCTCACTGACATTTTTCTAAAACACGGTTGGGACTTGTCTTTTTGGAGTCCCGTTCCCGTGTGTCTCGGTGATTGGGTGAGCTTCCAGTGCGATGAAATACGACTTGTTGGCCATTCATCTCCTTTTCCAGGTGCGATTAACATCCTGCACAGAACAGGGGCATCTCTGCCGGAGAGAATCCCGCTCCAGGAGCTTTTTCCCTCAGCCATCTCGTTTTGGCCCCAGCGGGATGGGGCAGAGCTCAGCTGTCTCAGGAGGGTGACTTTTAAACAGATAGACGGTACAGCCCTTTAGCCTCTGTTCCCTTGGACCATCATGAATTTGTTTAAAGAAGATCTGCTTCCTTCCATGTGGCCCTAAAATGTAATTGCATTTCTCCCATCAGAGAAACTGAATTCCCCACACGGAGCCAGGTTTACCAAATAAAATTGCATAAGTGAACGGTTCTAACTTCAGCCAGGATGTTTAGATAAACAAACACGGAATCTCTTCTGACTTGGCAACGATGTCTGCCGTATTTTACAACATTCTCAGCAAATTTTAAGAGGTGGTTGACTTAATCAATACTACCTTGCTTATGGTGAGCCTTCAAATATGATGTAAAATCCTCAAAAGGGCCATTTCAAGAATTTTCCAGCTATTTCTATAGATACAGTATGTTCTTGGATAGAGCATGGAACGCATTTTGTGCCCAGATAATCACACCATAAATTCTGTTCACTAGTAAAGCTTCTGAAAAAGGGCCAAGTGCACAGGAAAGTAAGCAATGTGTCTCCAGGAGAGCTCCCTGGAGCAGGCCCCGCCATCAGCTGAGCCGCCTGCATGTGGAACCCCATTTAGAGACGGAGCAGCTACTTTGAGGGTTTCAAAAGACAGGAACCAGTTGCCTCTGGAAACGTGTAGCTCAGCCTGCACCCTCCTTAGGTTTGCCCCCATGATCTAAAGTAACGAACTGGTCACTTCAGAAAGACATGTGAGTCATTGTCATTTTGATTCCAAGCCAGTTTCCTAGTCACAGCTGGAGCGAAAGCCTCTTTAAATTAACCCTGTAACACAGGGGGTCGGTTTGATTTACGTATCTGCCTATTTGCTGAGCAAAATCTAGAGTGCATAGAAAAGTACAGAACTTATAGGAAACAATCAGTATGAAATTAAAAAAAAATTGGGTGGTGCTGTTATAAGAAATGTAGCACCATTAGAGATGAACCGTGTATTAGAAATCCCCTACCCGGGTATCCTGTTAGCACCCAGAGCAGTGCCTGGTGCAATATTTGTTGAGTGCACCAATCAGTACGGTATGACTACTGAATGAAACTAAGTGCCCGATCCTGATGTTGGGCTGATTTAGAATCATAACTTTGCTATTTAAAATTCTTAACTTGCAGACTGCCCTGACCCCCCCCAAAAAAGATCCACTTCTGGAAATGAAAGCCACAGGGAATTTAATGGAACTGCACGGATGCCTCGGAGAGCAGAGGGCAGCTCAGACAGCTCAGGGTCCCGGAGCGGGCTCGGGACCTGGTCCCTGGTCCACATGCTCACAGACCACATTCCTTCCTAAAGGGGGCGGAAGCTGAGGGTGCAGGGCTGTTTCTGTAGCAGGGACCAGGGCCCTCGCTGTTAGGAACAGAGCCGCATGGCGTGGTTCAAGGGCCATTTCTTCCTTCTCTCGTGTTCATTAAACAATGTAGAATGACTGTGAGATTTGAACCACCCTGGGCTTTGAGATTATCCTACAAGACGTCAGTCTGGATACACAGCAATACAGTTTCCACCCTCCTCGTCCATTGTCAGGAGGCTGAGGTCACCCAAGGAGGGAGCACTGTGAGTGTCTTCTGAGTCGGAGCAAGGGGAGAATCCCAGGCGCCCCGTACCTTTGTGTTCTTCCAGGACCTGTGCAGGGATGCCATGCTCACACAATAGCAGCATCTGATAACACAGTCAGTAGATGAACTCGTCACAGCATTAAACGTCCATGTGACTATCCTCAGATTGTAAATGGAATTACTAGGGAAAGAAAATCTAGGTGGTTTTGTAACTATTAATGCCATGACTATGAGTTATCTCAAAACGGATTTATTGAGTGCCTGTGATATGCCAGGCATTTTTAAAAAATATATTTTCAGGCATTTTTTCAGTGCTGGAAAAATAATGAAAATGAGAGCTAACCTTTATGAAACAGGGTTTCTGTGACACACTGCATAGGGAACCTCCTTCAGTCTGGTCACCTGAGTCAAGTGCCTAACTCCTAAGTACCATACCCCCATCACCAGCCACAGCGGCATTGACACAGAAGCACACTCCTTCCCAGCTTTTGGGGGGTTCCCCACCTGTGTGGTGTCACATCTACAGTCATAACCTCCCTGTAAACTGTAGTTAGTTCGTTTCAAAGAAGGCTAAAACATAATTTGTGGAAAATTACTTTCTAAGCAGGAAATTGCTGTAAAGATTTTATTTAAAATATATTCATCCAATATGTTGTCTGTTTTCTTTTCCCTTTTACGGAGAAATATGAAAACAAAAGAATCTTTAGATCCCAAAAGACAGCTCAGGTGAGGGAGAGCCTGCTCTGAGACAGCCCTGGGTCCGAGGGTGAGAGGTCTTGTGGCGGGCTGTTTGTTCGCGATGGCTCTGATTCGCTGCAGAGGCCAAGACAGAGAAACCCCACTCCAAGGGTGGAAACTGGAAACAAGCGCCCACATTTGGAATTCTTTTTTTTTTTTTTGTGGTACGCAGGCCTCTCACTGCTGTGGCCTCTCCTGTTGCGGAGCACAGGCTTCGGACGCGCAGGCTCAGCGGCCATGGCTCACGGGCCCAGCCGCTCCGCGGCACGTGGGATCTTCCCGGACCGGGGCACGAACCCGTGTCCCCTGCATCGGCAGGCGGACTGCCAACCACTGCGCCACCAGGGAAGCCCCTGGAATTCTTTAACATGGGTGAGGAGGAGGTTTAGTTCGCTGCTGTGAATTTTTAATGCCATGTATTTGGGCTGGAAGGATGCAGAACAGGAACATTTGGAATATTCTGTGCCCAGTGTTTTCTGGATTGTATTTTAAAGCTCGTGTGAATCTCTAGTGAGCAATAAAGTGTTCTTTACCTTTATTTGACTCAAATTCATTACCATCTGAGGATCACTGAGTAGCATGGACTCGTTTATATGGTTCTAAGGCATTCTCGGTCTATTTGGGGCAGAAGGTGCATCTAAGTAAGCTCGTGTCCAAACACAAAAAAGAAACTGAATTTCTTAACATAAAAAGACATAAGGCTTTATACATGGAAATACCCGGTCCTGGAATTTTTTTAAGTGATCGCTTAGTTTTCGTGTGGATGAGCTTCAGCGCTAAGCCCTGGACACAGCTTTTAAAAAAAAGCCCCTCGTCTTCTTCTGGACTAATTTCCAAAAACACAGGCTGTTTCGGAAATATTGCAGCTGGGATTTCCAGACTCAGCCTCAGGCAGCCCTCGGGGCGAGTGGGGGGCTGCTCTTCCAGGACCCTCCTGAGGTGTGTGGGTAGTGGTGCCAGCACATCAGGGCTGCAGCGGGAGGGGCCGCCAGGACTCGCTGGGACTGGACCACGTGCCTGCTGGCCCAGGCCCCTGACGGGGACCCAGAGCAGAGGACCGTGGCCGTCCCTGGGGCCTGGGTCCCACCTGTGGCCTCCGGGGGTCCACGGGGCATCAGATCCACCTGTGGACGCTGACCACCCGCCCTGACGCTCCTCGCCGGCCCCTCCGTTTCCTGTTCAGTCTCATCCCCCGTAGGCTCCCCGGGTGACCCGCCGCGGCCTCACACGTGTCTCCTTCTTGCTGCAGTGTCCTCATGTGACCAGGAGCAGCAGTCGGCCCTGGAGGAGGCCAGACAGCCCAAGAACGACAACGTGGTCATCCCCGAGTGCGCCCACGGTGGCCTCTACAAGCCGGTGCAGTGCCACCCCTCCACGGGCTACTGCTGGTGCGTCCTTGTGGACACCGGCCGCCCCATCCCGGGCACGTCCACCAGGTAAGGCTCCGTGGGGCCGGGAGACCCCGGAACGCAGAGCCCCCATGGTTCCCACCCACCGCGGATGTGATGCCCGTGCCCTGGACCTCACCCCACTTCTCAGTGTGGCATTAAGGCCTGTGCCCACGGGAGCCCATCTCCCTGACGTCACCAGGAGCTGGCGATGCCAGTGATGGCACGAGGGTGGTGAAGACAGACTTTTTAGGCAATTTTGCTCCTATCTGTAGTCACACAGGCTGGAAGTTTGAAAAATGGCTCATCTATCACCTCAGCTTCTTTTGTGCCCGGTGTTGGCAAAGGGAACCTTGCATTTCACAGGAACCGATTGCCCAGGACAGCTCTCTGTAGTCCAGAGATACCTGTCTCCTGAAATTGCCACTGAAAAAGAAAGAGAGTACTGAGGTCAGGGGCAACAGTAGTTACTCAGGGTCTGAAATACAAACCAAGCCATTCATTCATGTTTTGCGTGAGTCTGAGCAAAGAAGTCATTTTTTTTTTTGCAAGTCATTTTATAATAGCACCAGGAAAGACCTGATATTTGTTCCTGGAAATAGTGTGAACAAGTAAGGATGTTTTTGCGGCTCTTGGTCATATGAATTGACCTTTGGTTTTTCATAGATTTGGTATAAAAGTAGTTCACAGGTAAAGGACACTATTACCTGTCACGTGTGATCCAGGTTAAGCCCCGTTTCCCTCTGCAGCACTGAGGCATGAGCACCTTGATGCCTCCTAAGATACTTGCCCCAATTTCTCAAGGGTGACCATGGTGCGTGTAGAAGGGGAAATGCCCCCATGTAGATTCCGGGAGCTGGAAGGACAGGTAACCAGCTGACTTTTCCTCATGAGAAAGTCCAGCCACACCTGGAGCCCCATCTGGCTCGTTCGGGAGACCAGGCCCCTTGGGGATGGGAACCCCAGGCCCCGGCCGCCCTGGACAGCTGGCCTGCCCTGCACACAGACGACCCCGACGGGGTGTCCAGGCCAGAGACTGAGGTTCCCTCTGCGGGTGGTCGTAGGAGATTGTTTCAAACATAAAGAGAACATAAATCTTCCCAGGGTTTTGTGTGAGAAATTGCTTTGCTCATTCCTGAATGCCTCTGTATGTAGGGAGTGATCTTTTCTAAGAAACCTTTCTTGGGAAATGACATTTCCATTACTTCAAACTCAGGCTTGTAGACCCCAGGCCCAGCTGCAAGGGCGCTAGGAACCATCTCATAGCTCCGGCCAGCAAAAGTCCTCACGCTGTCAGAGCCAGGCCTCCGCAGACTGGCTCAGATGCTGAGATCAGCTTTATCACGTTGTCCCTGTGGAACCTATAAACATTTTTATCTTGCAGTCAGACGAGAAACACAAGAGGCCCTCCTCCCTCCTGTCCGTCCTGGTTTCATTCTGTGCAGACTTTTTGGGACAGAGCACCGAGTTCTCATTTTCCCTACTTTTTGGTATAGGAGGGAGGGACTCCATCTTCTTTGAGTTTCAAGAAACAGACTTAAATTAGACCCAGGGGAGGAGACCCCTCAGACTCGAGCTGTACTTTTCTCTCATTCGTTCATTCCTCTGTTCATCGTCGCCGATGCTGACTGTCATGACCCCGACACCATCAGAACTGAGGCTAGTAGCGAGGGGGATGTCAGAACCCGCACGTTTCCCACAGGGCTCCGTGCATCGAGGCTGAGCTGTCCTTACGGCCCACCAGTCTTAAACATGACCGCACCCAGTGCTCTCGGAGATAGAGGCTCCGATTATTTCCGCAGTTAAAGGACGTGATTTTCATGAGCCATTTTTGTTCCCTCTGCTCTGCATCTTCATCAGCGCACCAGCTTGCTCTGGCCTGATGCCTATCCTGGCTTCTAGAAGCATCACACAGCCGTGACAACATAATGTGGCTTTTCTGACAGCAAGAAAGGCCTTCCCCATGGACCCTCGGTGGGCCTCCCCTCACTCTAACTGGCCAGAATGTCACCCACTGACCAGGCTACCGCCCGTCAGGGAGGGCCCTGGGCCCCATCATTCAGCACCCAGGCATGGACGGGGCCCACCCCGGGCCCCCGAGGCCATGCAGAGCAGGTTTTACGTGTGACAGAGTTTAGCGCAGAAGGGATACGATCTCTTAAGGCTCCAAGAAACACTCCCCTCCCTGTCACCCCGAGGTTCACTTTTTATTCACTAAATGTTTGAAATCCCTCAATGTTGCAGGTGCCGCTCTAGGGGCTGGGGGTATTCAGGGAACAAAGCGGACAGAACCCTGTGCCTCCATGGAGCTTATGTTCTCATGGCGGGAAAGGGACACAGAGCAAACCGCAGAAGCAGAAAAGCTGAACATGAGTTCATACGCCGGCTTGTGATAGCTGCGCTGGAGGGCGACACACAGGAAATAGCGAACGGAGGGGCAGCTTCAGCGGGACGGCCGGGGGCTCCCAAAATGCTGAGGTCGGGTTCAGGTCCAGAAGGATCTGGGGAGCAAGCCGATGATGCCTGCGGGGGGCAGTTCAGACGGAGGGGGGAATGTGGCCCCCCGACAGTGTAGGTCCCAGAGCTAGAATCTAGTTACATTTTGGTCAAAAGGGAGGATGTATCGATTAGGAAACTCTTCACTTCTGTTAGTGATAAATCTGCCAAATAGGCATAAACAGGGAGGGACTATATAATCTAAGGGAGAGGAGCAGAGACGGAAGAAATTCCCTTTCAGTGGATGCAGTGACTTGGTCACTGAGGACACAGGGTCTCCCAAGTCTTTCCTCTGACATCCTCAGTGTGTTGCCTTCGCCCTTGGACAGACTCCCCTCATGGTCACAAGATGGCTTCAGGGATCCGGGCATCTCATTCAGACATGCTCAGAGGACACACAGCCCATCTCTCTCTTTCTTAGGAACCAAACAACCTTTCCTAAAAGTCCCCTAGCCAACTTAAGTCATGGATTATTGGCCTTAATTGGATCATATGACTACAGCTAAACCCATCACTGGCAAGAAAAATGGAATTGGTTTAAACAGATTTCTACGTGGATACTGGGAAATCAGTGAAAATCATCAAGTTTAAGGCATATCTTATGAGATGCTGGCCAGCTTTGCCGGCCCTCACTTAGCCCTGCTTCTTCTGTGATTGAGTAGCAACGTCACAGAAAGTCTTCTGCGTTATTCTTTACGTACTTTCTGGTGCATAAGTGCTATTTTCTTGCGATTTTTCTGAAATAAGCCGTTCCAGGGAGATACTTTATAGTTTTGATTTATATTTGGGTAGACAGTTCAAGTCCCCCCCCCCACAATCGTTCTCTATATTTTCTGATGGGGAAGAATAATTAAAAAATCCAAGAACAGTGAGATGACATAAATATAAAATGCATTCTCATTATAAGCTAGTCCTTTCCTGTGTCATCAGGAAAGGTAGTTACAAAGCACACGTTTTGTTACAGGCTTGTGCCAAGGACAATAAATGCACAGAGGCAGAGAGCAGCTACGGGGCAGAATTTCTAGGTGGGCTGGTCGTCAGGTAGAAACATGAGTTGGACCACGTGCTGATGCATCTGCTGGTCTCCCTGCCTTTTTGAGTCAAAACTGACATCTTGGCCAAGGTATTCAGAGCCCCTGCAGGCCGGAGCCCAGGCCACGCGTGGTGGGACAGGACCTGGGAGGAGGGGGGCAGGTTCCAGCCTGGTCGCTGATAAATAGTGGGGAGAGCTGGCGTGAGCTATCGGGTTAAGCGTGGATCAGGCTAACCGCCAGCTACTACATTAGCGCCCAGAACGGAGGGATTTCTCTTTCACTTTCTTGATGGCCAATGAGAGTTTGTCCACCTGCCACCAGGCTGCAGGCTGCTCTGACCTGGCACGAGGACCCCGTTCCCAGCCTGTGGAGCCCACGCGGCTTGCTGGCCGTGTGAGCATGAAATCGAATTTCTCCCTGGCAGAGAACCTGGTATCTGATGGGCAACCAGACGATAAAGAGATGTGCTTTCTTATCTTATACAAATAAGTTAAAATAAACACTGTTGGGAAGGATGCTGACAGATGTCAACACCATTTAAATGGCTTTATCTTCAAAGGCACTGATTCCATTTCTTGAGATTGTCATTTCCGCAAGTCACAGTATTCTTTACAAGGAGCAGAATGCTGTCATTTAAACATACATTTTTATATCAACCTAAGTGCTGGGATTCTTGAGACACCTACAGCCCAGATATGGAGCAAAACCAGGATGATCACGCAGTAAGGTTAATTTCCAGGAGGCTTCGAAGATTCAGGATGGGGTTGGCAGTTTTGTGGTTTCTTATCACCACATGGGGGTACCGGTGTTGACTCCACGCCTTTGACAGGCTGTACACAGAGTTCATACTAACAGTCCAACTTCTTAACATGACAGAACAGCCGATGGCTGACGTTCTCACAGATCAAACATCCCAGGGATGGCTGGGCCGTTCGGCCTCCCGGGGAGCCCCATCCCTAGTTGCACCTGCTTGGTTAGGAGCTGGGACTTTGCTTGTTCTTTCACAGCTCACGTTTCACGGGCTGCTGGCTGTGAAGGTGTCAGCTCTAGCATGGGTACCATTTCCAACCTCCCCAGCCCCACGGCCGCTGATCTAGAGTCTGAAACGAGGATTTTTCAGTCTTAAGCACATGCTCAGTTTCCCCAGATTTAACAAGCATGAGTAACAGCGAGCTCTTAGTCATCTCTCCGTTACCTGGCTTCTTTCCCGAATGTTCCCCTAGGGAATTTCTGGCTCCTTACCTACCTGTCTCAGTCCCAGGTGGGAGAGGAGACACCAGGTGGGTAAGAGGTCCCTTCACCCCCGTTCATTCCTGTGACCGTGGTTCCAATGCCATCTGCACTGAACCCCACTGCATTTCAAAAGGATATGAGTTAATGGCTTTTGGTGAAAATGTGATAGCTTAACTGTTAGCCGGAGTGTGTCAGGGACTCTTTAATTTCAAAAACAACATTTCAAAAAGGCATATTAAGTTTGTGTGAGTGGGGTGTTAAGTTTTCTGGTATCAAAGAGGCTATTCAGGATGTGAGTGGCTGGAGGAGCTCGTGGTGCCCTGGCTGTGTTTCAACCGCGCTGGACCCGACCCTCCAAGACTGGCCCCGGCTCCCCGGGCGCCAGGGAGGGATGCTGAGAAAGGATCCCTTCAGCGAGAAATTTCATTCTTTTATTTTCTAGGGTGGGAAAACAAGAAATAATGAAAAATAAGAATCAGAAATGATCCCTATGAAGTAAACATGATCTCGTATCTCTTTCTGAGAGAGTGAAAAGGAAACGGGCAGCGAGAGAGGGTGAGGCCTCAAGGGGACTTTGTTCATATCCTGAGAATCAGCAGCCCCTGGACCTGACCGTCCCTCCTGCGCCCGCCCCCGACTGGCTCTGACTGTCGTTCACATTTTCCAAGAATCTTTCCTGACCCCTGAGACTGCATTAAGAGCCCTAAGGGCAGGTTCTCACAGTTGCCAGGCACGCTACTGAATTGTCGGTGTGTCCCCATAAGACTGGGCAGTTCCCCCCAGGTGATGTGCATCTCCCTGTGTCTCCCACCAGAGGGGCAGGTGCTGGGAGTCTCCACGTATCCCACCCAAGGGGCTTTATAAAGAGCCTTGAAGGAGGCTCCGCTGGGCAAGCTGTCCACCTGGGCCTGGATCTGGAGCCCAGCCGGCAGATCCATCCAGAATTACTGTCAATACTGGTATCCCCAAAGTGCCCACTGCCCGAAGTGCAGTAGCCGGCAGGCACCCTGGGTCCCGCCTGCTCAGATACCAAGGGCCACCCTGTTCCTGTTGACTCCGTGGGCCCAGAACATACTCCTTTTTTTGTGCTGTACGCGGGCCTCCCACTGTTGTGGCCTCTCCCGCTGCGGAGCACAGACTCCGGACGTGCAGGCTCAGCGGCCATGGCCCACGGGCCTAGCCGCTCCGCGGCATGTGGGATCCTCCCGGACCGGGGCACAAACCCGTGTCCCCTGCATCGGCAGACGGACTCTCAACCACTGCGCCACCACGGAAGCCCCTCAGAGCATACGCTTTATTCTTTGAACCCTGAGACAACCTTTTGTAGCTTCAGGAGTTAGATTTTGAATTCGTTGGTCTTTGAGTAATGTATCAGTCTAGAATTCTGAGGCCCTCTCTGAGACTTTGCACTCTTTCCCGGGGGCTGTGACCCTGCCC